AGCTTTGATATCACAAGTATATGACCATTACGAGCACCACTAGATACTGGTCTGCACTATGTACCTTATTATTTACATGTCGCCACAGAACAGTACTGGTGGCGCTGATGCTCTCGAGGTCTTGGAAGGTCACTATTTCTACTATCTCTTTCTCGAGTATCCTATTTCATCAGGTAATGTATCGATATGGGAAGTCCACACCTGGTTGGACCTCATTATCTTCATCGATGTTATCTTGGATACTGGCCTATTCCTTGCTGCTGCTATCACAGTCAAGTGGCCCCGTGCTCCAGTATTCAGTCGTCATCTACAGGTCAGCAGGCCAACAACACCTGCCTCTATCAGTGCATACCATCTCAGGGTGCATTGGAGTCTGTAGCTAGGCAGACTGAAGATAACAATGATGATCATGCTGCTGAGCTCGCGTCAGAAAGTAGCATTACACGCCTACTACTAGCACTATTGTTAATGATGATGGAAGGTTCACCATCATCATCGGCATCGGCCTTAGACTCTGAGGATAGTGGCTCGTTCTCTGGTAGCAGCACTAGTACTGATACCCGCAGCCTTTCCTTTGTAAGTACCTAGTTACAAAGCTGTAATAGTTACTCATATGAATGGTAGGTATTGAAGCAATCCCTCACGCATGACTGTTGCCTCATGATAGCATGTCATGAATCTACTATGACTAGGGAACGATATGAGCTATTCTCTGGAACTCTTAGGGCAGCACTCATGGTAAGAGTGCCCATCACATTGGCTGCATTGAGTGTTCTTAGGTATTCCCACCGTCTCACATATTCGTGTGTGATAATGGTAACAGTCCCGAACCTGTCGATGATACACAGATGGCTACTATAGAGGCCCATCCTGATATCAATTATATGTACTCTCACTATCTCAGCGTCACCGTTATGTGTTCATTACTCAGTTATGTGCCTGAGGGTAACAAGACATTCGCCTTCTATTGGTGTAATAAGTTTTGGGTACCCTTCTTGGCGAGGCACTCTAAAGTGCCCAACTTCAAGTAATACCACTTGTGTAGCCCATCCTACCTCTGTGTGTAGATACGCTGTAATCATCGATGATGATGTACCACTACCCGCTGATTTACATATACCTCATGAGCATCTACGCAACCATCCTGACATCAAGGCTGTAAGGGTATCATGCTACATCCAGCCGCGGACCTTTGAATAGGTCCACTTCCCCATCACTGCTACAGCTCCTGATGGTAGAAGGAATATGCTAGTCAGGTGCCAGGACGTAGAGTACAAACTAGCTGCTGTGCATAAGCTCTTCCAGTGAGCCGTCTCTCACTTGAATCTATGAGTGTATGACTCATCAGGTCAACTCTCTCACGATGCTTATCGTGTCATGGTGCCATTGCATTATGGGAGCGACGAGCCCTCGAGATGATATTCTATGAGCATGATACCGTCTTCCATGGGGAAGATATGTAAGCATCCTTTGTGTATGGCAGGCTTGGATGATGTATGGTCCAGGTATATGGGTTTATGCTTACTCCATCGCCGTGATGATTCTAAGATCATATCCTGTGCACAGTCAGTGGTCCCAACGTGAGTCGGACTCGAGGAGTAGCCCCCTATCGTATTTCTACTAGATACGCACCTGCTTCCTTCCCTATGCTGTTCCGTCAGCGAGTGAAGAGTTGGGAGCTGACGAGTCATAGGAAGACCTTCACTTATATAAAGTAGGGGTCTGTTACAGACGACTGTCTACAAGAGGCTCATATGTTGTCACACCTGTTGTCTCGTAGAGAAGTGCTCTCCCCGGCTTCATTCTGTCATGCGGCATCATTGATCCTCAAGCCATACTTCCTCCAGGAGGTCCTCACTATCCTGCTTGATTGGTTAAGAACCTTCCTGCTCACTGGTACTACTCCTGCTGGACCCCTACTCAACATTTGTCCGTGCCACTCAGGTCTCCTCCTTCGTGACTGGATTGGTCTCCTACTCATGACATCAGTTTTCACTTGTCTCCTGTGAGTTAACTCCTGCTCTCTACTCCCGGCTCAAAGCAGGTCTTCGCAGTGGTTGGTCAATCATCTGTACAGGTATATCCAAATTATTATCTTCCAGTTGGTCGTTCTTCGTCAGAGGAAGGAATTGCGAAGCTCACTGAGTACAATCGTATTCTTCCCTTGGTAGTAGTAGTGATATGATCATTCTGCGTCCTGAACGCCTGCTCAGGTACCGCCTTATGGGTTTAATGTTTCGGCTCTGTGCACTCTGTCAGAACTTACTTGTCTACAGCCACGATAGAACTTTCCTCAAGATTGGTAGAAGTTGATGAATTATCGATCGCAAGCATCCGTTGCCACCATCAGGTCAGCGAGAGGACGAGATCCGCGATATACCGCCTTGCCCTCCTCATCCTGATGTGGACTGGTTTTCCATCTGGATCGAGGATGATTTACCCGTCTCCTCGCCTCCATCAGAGAAGAAGGTAGCGACTCGCGGTTCCATTTGGGACCCGCAGTGGACAGGGGGTGATTGCTCATCTTTTAGCAACGGAGTCGAAGGACGAAATCGAGAGATCCTAGGGCTCCCGGCGACTCTATGAGGCAAGTGGCATGATGTGCAGTATGCTGTATGGATGAATTCCCTCCTCAGATCAGTCGGGAAGTATAATAATTCTTTCATCCCTGTTGGCGTACAACAACAGCAGGAACCCTTGTATTACAGTTAGAGCCGATCATTATAGCGGCGTGTGCCGCCTGTATATCCATGACTAGCGCATAGCTACTGTTAACACGGTCAGTATGCGAAATTCTAATCGATTCTTTCAATTCATGTGATGATAAGTTCATTTTGTTCATGGTGGATGTACGTGGGACATATTGCACGTTTCGTAACACGAACAGTGATACACTTGTGTTCCATTTTCATCAGAATGTCCGAAGGCGGACGAGGGTGAAAGAGAAAGGATGGAACATACGATACGCACCACCGCCCAAGTAATAACTCCCCTCGCGATGAGGGCTATCTTACATTGGGAACTAACGAAAACTCAACGGGATAGCAGTTCCAACATGAAGAAAACGAACATGTGTGAGAAACATGATAAGCGAAAAAAGGGCAAATCTTTTTCTTGGCACTTCTTATCAGAGGGAGTGGCAACCTCGTCTTCTGAGCAGGCATGAATACGCTTACGTCCCGACATACAGCTTGTTACTGCGGTGGATCGCGGGATATGAAACCTGATACCCTACTTGACATAAAGTGAAATAGACTCACGGTCACCAGCTAAGTATGAAGTATGAGTCAGGACCGAGTATCTGATTAAAAACTAATACACCGCATGGAGCCTATGTGCTTACGTATAGACACCGCCGATGAGGCACGTCATAAGGATGTTAGTCATTAATACGGCATCCTGGTGGATATAAAGGAGTTGTTAGACTTGCAACTTCCCAAGTGCAGGATCTGCTTCACAACGAGTTAAGAGTGCAATAGTGGCCTCATTGACAGCAGTAGTCTCGCTCCGAAGGGACTGAGATATAGCCCAATGGAACCACTCTTAATATATTGACCGAATGAA